CTTGCGTGCGAAAAGATGGATGTCCTTTGTCCACACAAACTTATCGAACTTGGGTGTAGGGACAAAGGCCAGCCCTCTTCCAAGCACCTGGGACTCAAGGGGAGTGAGTTGATGAGACGACAAATTAATGATCTGGCTACTTTGTATTAATATATTAAAGTAGCCAGATCATTAACAATGATCACAAACAATGCCTTGTGATAGCAATACACTGACTTTACATGATATAAATTTCTTGACGAATCATTCGTCTCTGATTATAAAATTTACACAGATATATTCACCTTCGTCCTTTCCCTATTCTATGAAGCAAGTCACTCCATCCAATGAGTACATACAGGGTTAAATATAAACCACACAATGTAGAGGTGGACTTAACCCTGTTTGGAGTTTTCTTTCTTTTTTTTTTTTTTTTTCTTTATTTAAACAGCGAATTAGCATATTCTGACGTCATTTTGGCGCCAACTGACGGTCCACACAGGAACCCTGATTGGTGGAATCCTCTCAACAGTTACAATACCAGGGGTATTTAAACAAGGTCTAGGGTCCATAACGAATTCAGCCCCTGACGAAGGTGCATCACAGCACCGAAACGCGCGTCGGGTTGAAGGAGGTTTTTTTCTCCTTCACTTTCACTCACTCTTTATTTTCACTTCTAGGGCACTAATTCACGATGTGTAGGTAACCAGCACTCTAAGCATGGTTCTACACATTAGCACTATTATTTCCTAATTTTTCACCTTTTCCTCCTGTCACTCCTGATATGCTATCTAGATTGGAATTATCTATTTGATTGAGGAATCTGGACTGGCTCTGTATGTATTTGAGGGGGCAACAGATACTCTTTGTACCCCATAGCGATTTAGGAAACCACTAACTTAAGATTTATCATTTATGACATATTTTGTGATTAATCTACGAATTTTCATGTAGACTTTTTTCCTTTTATTATATGTTACTTGGTATCCAGCTAAATGCTGTTATCCTTAATTGCTGATTGCTTAACTACACTCTTATTGTAGCTTTTTTGATACAGCGGGCTTTGCTACAAGTGTTACTTTATATACAGCCAATATTCAAAGTTCCTCCTTGACTGATTGTCTTTTCCATCTAGATTACAGGAGTTAATTTAAAGGCTCATTCCACAACCGCTTTTACTGTTGACATGGACATACTATGGTTGATTATATTAAAGTCCTGAGTCTCAAATAGATTCTTTACGTCTAAGAGTCCTTTAGACAGGAGAAGAGCCATTTAGGCTATTTTAATCACTTGAATCTACGTATGAACCCTCTCTATATTCCGACATATTGATGGCAATTTTGATTTAATTATCTATTATCTACTAATATTTTGTCCAGCTGACAGTCCTGGTTCTGGTTTCAGTGACCAGTAACAGGAAAGTCATTTTCTAGTACTTAAAATAAGGTAACTACAATCTCAGCTGAACAACAACACAATACATATTACACTGTCATGATATATTTAACAAAAGCTAAAATGGAGAAGCCATGTGTGAAAACTAAATAAACCTTATGAATCAATAGCTTGTATAACCACCTCCTTTAGCAGTAATAACTTAAAGTATTTGTTTTCTGTATGACTTTATCTGTCTCACATCGTTGTGGAGGAATTTTAGCCCACTCATCAAGGTTGCTTTAATTCATTGAGGTTTTGCATTTGTTTCTGCACAGCTCTGTTAAGGTCCCAACACAGCATTTCAATCGGGTTGAGGTCTGAACTTTGACCAGGCCATTGCAACACCTTGATTTTTTTATTTTTCAGCCATTCTGTTGTAGATTTGCTGGTGCTCTTGGGATCATTGTCCTGTTGCATGACCCAATTTGGGTCAAGTTTGAGCTGTCGGACACATCGTCTCACATTTAACTCTAGAATACTTTGGTATACAGAGAAGTTTATGATCGAATCAATGACTGCAAGTTTTCCAGGTAATGTGGGTGAAAAACAAGCCCAAATCATCACCGCTCCACCACTCTGCTTGACAGTTGGTATAAGGTGTTTGTGCTGATATGCTGAGTTTGTTTTTTTGCCAAATGTGGCACTGTGCATTACAGCCAAACACCTTCACTTTTATCTTGTCTGTCCAATGGACATTGTTCCAGATGTTTTAAAAAAACGATGAACCTTTGCAAACCTAAACTGTGCTGCCATGTTCTTTTTAGAGAGAAGAGGCTTTCTCCTGGCAACCCTCCAAACTAACCATACTTGTTCAGCATTTTTCAATTGTACTTTCATGAACTTTAACATTCAACATGCTGAGGCCTGTAGAGACTGAGATGTAACACTTGGGTATTTTGCAATTTGTCTGAACATTGCACAGTCTGACATTGGTGTGAATTTGCTAGGATGTCCACCTATTGGAAGATTGGCAACTGTCTTTAATATTTTCCACTTTTGAATAATCTTTCTCACTGTAGAATGATGGACTTTAAATTGTTTGGAAATGGCCTTATAACTCTTCCTAATTTGTTGGGAAGCAACAATAAGTTCTCTAAGATCATTGATCATGTTGTTTCTCCTTGGCATTGTCTTAAACACACCTGAATGCTCCAAACTTTTATAGAGGTTGTTACACTTGGTGTTGATCAATTCATCAAGGGCATTTGATTATGATCACCTGTCTGCTACTTAGCCTCTTAATTCCTATGGAAACAGTAAGGGTGAATTTCGTTTTTCACACATGGCTTTTTTTTACATTTTGCCTTTATGTTAAATAAATCATGACATGGTGTAATATGTCACGTGATGCTCTATTTAGTAATTTTTAGACCTGATAAGGAACAGCTGATTGTTGCTATGACCTCATGTAAAACCATAGAATTCAAAGATGGTGTACTTTGTTTTGCCGTGACTGTATATATAAACATCATATGCATATGCTTATTGCTTGTCTGTCAAGAGAAAGACATTCTTTATTTGCTCAACACAGCCACAAATAGAATAGCGTGCACTTTAAATGAATAAATAAATAATTAAATAATGAGAACTCTTCTCCTTCTGGTAAAGGACATTGCTTTTGGCTTCCTCTCTCTTGTACAAGTGATCCTTACATTGCCCGATTAACATAGTGGCTAATGAAGCTGCAGCTCATAACTATGGAATAACCCACTGATTCTAAAATAAATATATATATATAAAATATTTAAAAAAAAATAATAATAAAAAACTATAAAAAAAAATATATACATATATAAATATATATATATATATATATATATATGACGACTAAGGTGTTGGTCTATTCCACTGTCCTTTCTCACCTTGACTACTGTAATCCGTTTCTCAGTGGTCTTACATGCTCCAAACTTGCGCCGTTACAGTCCATAATGAATGCCTGCCCGCAACTCCTACCTGCCCGCAACTCCCATGCCTCACCCTTCTGTCAGTCCCTACATTGGCTTCCTATAAAATATAGAGCTCAATTTAAAATTTTAAAAGACCAGAAGTAAAGGAAAAAAGGACAGACCCAGGGGTCGCGTAACTAGTTAGCATGGAGCATGGAGGAGTTACGCGACCCCCAGGTCTGTCCTTTTTTCCTTTACTTCTGGTCTTCAAGCCAGCTGAGTAGTGGGTATCCAGTATTCATAATCACAGGAAGGGTAAAGCTTATTAGTAACTGTAGGACTGTGAGATCTCTTGGAACTGTTATTTTAGTTCAACCGCTTGTCACTTAGTTAGCTTGCATTTGTTACGAACGGCAAACTGGATATGTTGTGTCAACTATGCAGTACAAATAGAACCATATTATCCAGCTTTTAGCCATATTGTGTGGTCCTGTGGCATTAGGTACCACCTTAGATGTTAAACCCACTCACCCTATAGGTGGTCCTGGATCTCTAGATTAATTGAACACTATTTTATCCAGGCTGCCTTCTTCATGGGGATCTAATTTATTGCGGGTTGTAGACCAGGCTCTAGGTCTTTGAATGTATTTACATTTACATATACAGATATTTTTTTATTACTTTTTCAGACGTTGACCGTGGAATAGAATTAAAGTCTGGGGTCTGAATTAGTAAAGTTAATCATTGAGACCTAAGCATTTGAAGGTTAGCCACTTGGCAGTTATTTTTTAAATTTGTTTCTGACCTCTTGGGAGTACGGTTATACACTTATATTCATTTTTATTATATATTCGAATTATATTATTTTTCTTTATTTATATTTCCAGCTGATACCCGTACTTCTGGATTTGGTGTCCAGCAGTTTGAGTATCCTTTATATATCTTTATAGCGCCTTCTATCAGAAAGATTCTGTAATTAGGTTTATTATAATTGCCAGCCCCATACCCCATAGGCTCTTAACACTGCACTGGATCCTCATTATTTTTAGTTTGTTTAACTTAACTTTTTTTTTCCTTGAATAAGACAATGCTACCCTGGGGTTTATGGGAAATATTCAACTCTACATTTCCATTGGTCTACTAGGACTTTCATAACTCTTCTTATATCTGAATGTATTGCTGAAAAGGGTCTGGGTATATGGTGCAAGTGGGTTTCTCAATTATTATTTTTTTGTTATAAACAAAAATTGAAAATAATTAATGTAAACAAAATGCAAGAAATAGTGAGAAAAATAATTAGATGCACTGTTAGACACATCCTTGCATTTCCTGCGCTGCAGCGTTATGATAATTACTATAATACAAGGAAGTCTTACAAAGTCTTACTCTACATTTTCATTATTTATTTATTACTGGCATTTATAAAGCACCAACATATTCCTCAGCGCTTTACAAATAGGGGAAAATGTACAATATACACAGACCAATAAAAAAGATAAAGAGGGCCCAGCCTGTAAGTTGAGATCTAGCCATTGAAGCTGTTCTATACAAAGTGCTTAATTAGATAGCATGTGAGCTTACAATCTAAAGCATAGCATATATGTCTTTCTATTTGTGGTTCAACAAAATATATTTTTATATTGTGCTAGGTAACCTGTTGCATCAGTATTGACTGTTAAAAATATATCTTAACAGCTGGAAATGGCGTTTTTAGTCACTTCTGATTGTGTGCCAAGTAAAGAATGAATTCCAGCCAGACCTCAAAACTCTCAGCTTAATGTGCGCTTGGAAGCTGCCGGACCAGTTTTACCCAGACTCATGCTTCATACGACCCAATTAGAAACCCGTCTTCTATAACACCGAAGTGGAGTGTCTTCCCAGAAATGAAATATATGTAAAAATTCCTGAGATCTGAAAAGGTTAAGCTGTTGTTACCAAGATTATCGATATTTCTTCAGAAAACAGTCATGGGCAACACATGCAGACATTTGCTCTCTAATTGCTACAGCAGGCTACCACTGTGAAGAACAAAGGAAATATTTAGCACATCGTAAATTCTTTTGGAGCCCTGCAGAGTGGCTTGAGTTCAGATTACACGTTTATAACCAGCATTTGCGAGTAATTTCAACTTGACTTTGAAAAAGTGGGTGGGGAGCTGTTGAATGCTTTTCCCCCCTAAACTTTCAGAGGTAGTAATATGTTGAGTTCCATATTCTTCTCACAGTCTGGTTACTAAACTTCACATTTTCCATTAACAAGGATCATTTTTTATTATTTGTTATTGGGTTTTGTATTTAAAGGCCCTCTGAATATTGCTGTTCTAACCTATTTCACAAATGCAGAAATGCATAATCTCTGGTCTGTATTTTTTTCCTTTCAGTGTGGCAGCATATAATAAAAAATATAAATTGCAATTATAAATTTTGGTTACTAAACAGAAATATATTTGTCATTCTGTTCTTTAGTATATAGCCACGGGCATGAAAATCATTTGGATAATTTTTTATGATGCCACATGTGTGTAAGTCATTCCATTCCGTTGTCTTCACATAGAGAGCTTAACTCAGGGCAAGGCAAGTACAATGATTGGTCAAATTGCTTGACACTTTCAAGGCCATTATAGGTTTTTTAAAAAATTACCAATAATGTCCGGGCACAGAGCCTCTCAAATTGTGGAAGTGTTTATTAAAACAGAGTAACGTTTCAACTTTACCATGAGGTCTTTGTCAAGAAGTTTCTTCATGCCAGATATATTTTCAAATCTTCTATTTTGGACTAAAATGTAACATTTTCTTTACTTTCAATGAATGGTAAAACAAGGCATAGGAAAGGGAGAGTACTGAGAAGACATGAGAAAGATAATTTTAAATTAGATAAGAGAACAATTGGAGGTAGTATCGTTAAATGAATACTCTAGGCACTTTAACAGCCTAATCTCATTGAAGTTGCTATAGTCTCTAGAGACCCCTGGTGCTGCACTTCTATTCAATGTTAATCTACTTACTGTTTTAATGCTAAACAATTGTCCACAGAAGCCACCCACTGCGCTACTGAGCCAATGAGGGAGCATTAGTCTGAGCACCAAATGGTAAATGTGATTGGCTCAAAGTGTCAGGTGACCACTTGTAGCCTAACACAGTGCCCATTGCTGGTATTAATTGGTATGTCTAGAATCACGCGTGCAATCTCTGCTTTAGCCGTACCTATAGGTGACCAGTGTAGCAGAATGGATGCTCTAGCTACACTTTTATTTCCTTTTGTTAGGCTGTCCATACGGCCCCATTTGTTTACCGAATCAACTCGCATCTTTTAATTACCGACCGCCCTTGGCTATTAACCACAAATTGGTTATTAGTTCAAGTGTTCCCCTCTGTGACACTTGTTCAAATAATTGGTGGCCATTTTGTCTCCCCCCAATGATATTGTAAAGCAATACGGAATCTGTTGGCGCTATATAAATCGCAATAATAATAATAATACATGGTCATTAGTGATGTCCCGAACGGTTCGCCACGAACGGTTCGCCACGAACGGTTCGCCACACGACTTCAGCAAACTTTGATCGGTACCTTGCAGGTCAGCAGACACATTCCAGTCAGCGGCAGATTCCCTCCCAGAGCCCACCCACCTCCTGGACAGCTCACTAAGAATGCAGCTTCAAAATGGATGCTGTCCAGGAGGTGGGAGGGAGGGTCTGCTGCCGATTGGCTGGAATGTGTCTGCTGACTGTGAGGTACAAAGTTTACTCAATGATGAGTCCGTGGCAACCGCCGCGGGCGAACTCGCGAACCGTTCGGGTAACCGTTCGGGACATCACTAATGGTCATTGATAGTGTGGAACTAATTTAGGATACACAACCCTGCGAACACCCGGTAAATTGATACCACTGCCCATCCAACTTCCCGAACAGTTAGGAGAGTGGCGTTCGGGAGGCTTAAACTACCAAACAGTGGGAGCACTCGTATCCTAACAGCCAGGGGATAGATTCATCAGTGTTCATGCGAGAACCCCAAGTCGTTGCCTTGTTTTCTCCAGAACAGTTTTGGGGTATCACCTCATTGCCGACTGGTCAAAAATTAATTTGAATGGCGTTCCCGAACCACCGAAGGGATCTGAGCGATATTTTGTCAAAGTGTGCACTCAGATTTAAGCTATTCGGTGATATGACGTGGGGTTCGTGGGGTTCTGAAGTATAAAAATATATTTTTTGGGGTGTTTTTAAATATTGTAGATTTTTCTGTACCAGAGAGATAATTGAGTTCTAGATTTTCCTCACGCAAATATCTCACAGGCACAGAGGATCTTGGGAGGAAAAGCCCTGTATTTTTGTATAAAAGACCAGGCTTATATATTTGGATGAGTTTCCTTTTGTGTGTTATGCTGCTGTTCCTAATGGACTGTCTTTGACCCTGAGTTTGTCTATCCCTGTTTCTTGTGTTGGCCCGGCTGCATGCCTGACCATGAGTTCAGTCTTAGTACTGATTCCGATGTACCAGTTCTGTTCCTGGCTCTGAATTTACCCTGTCCAGTATCAACTCTAATCCAACAAGGAAGGGAGCACTGAGAAAACAGAGGGAGAGCACTGGGAGATGAGAGAGAGAGCCCTGAGAGTGATAAAGAGCACTTGGTGCAATGGGGACAAATGGGGGAGAACAGACTGTGACGGACCACCTGGCACCCCAACCGGGTACCTCCGTCAATCGCTGCTTCCTAGTACGTGTGAGTACCATAAGCACTGCACTGGGACACCATAACCACCGTAAACCCCATGAACCACTGCAGCTTGGTTCGGTTCTTGCCGTCCTCCACCCACCCTGGACCTAAGACCAGGATCCAGCTTCCAGTGGGTAGACCTCTCCTACTTCAGAGAGCATAGCAGGAACAGCTCTTATAAGAGCTAGTGATTATAATCAGGGGAGTATTGTGATATAGCAATCCCCATAGTGAATGCAGGTCTCCAATCCCCCAAACATGAGCCAAGACTTCATGAAGGGGTAAACGAATCTCAATTTAATGGGAGCCACACTTGGCCTTTTATGACAATCCCCATGCAAGGGGTATGCCCAAATGGACCTTGTTGGGGACTCCAATACAAAAACACAGACCAATAAGAACTGTGATTAAATGCCCATAACAAACATACAATCCCTCCTCCCTGCTTGGTAGATAATTGGATCAGTAACTGTACTAATTCTACTCCAATTATCTCCAAGCACAGAAAAAACATACATTTTTAAAACACCCCAAAATTACCCTAAAAATACATAAAACCCCTGATAGCCCTGATCTGGGTGACCAACATATTCAAAAATCTTCCAGATCAGTTCAGGGATTTTCTGGAAGTATTATTTTTGATCGACCGTGCACATTGTCCCTTGCTCAAAACCGTTTCCAGATTATTAGTGCTAACAGTCAGTCTCTCTGTCTGGAGTACAAAAGTACATACTTCACATGAACAGAGCCTTTTAAAGTATTTTAGCCAGGTCTATTGCAGGGGCCATAGTCACGGGGTAAGAGGCTGGCCAGCAGGCTCCTCCAAGAACCAGTGAAAAGGTTCAGTTTGTCACACAGACCTTTAGGAGATGCGAGAGTGAGAGCACTGGGAGACATTGCTGGGAGATGGAAATCATTGAGCGGGAGAGAGATAGAGACCACATCAATGGAGTAACCACTGGGAGAAGGAGAAAAACCATATAGAGGGTTATTTAAGAGATAGCATATTGTGTTCGGATTGGCAACATGCGATTAAATTGACTAGACTTTGAGTTCATTTGTAATTTTCTTATTTACTGCAACCAAATCAGTTGAAATTAAGTAATTTTTACAGAATCATACCATCTGGCAGGATGCATTCAGTGTCAGCTTTAAAATCAGTGCTTTTTACACTTGAATACTATATAAAGTATGGCATCCAAACAGTTACTGGCATTAAAGAAAACAAGGACCACAATGCATTATAATCCATGTGGGCATTATAATTAAATTGTCTTTTAACAAGTGAATTTTAAAATGCTAAACTATTTGTCCACTGGCTTGCTGGTGCATACCAGCTACATGAGGTCCAGATATTCTTTAAAATGTTTGCTTGTAACTGTCTGGATAAATAGTTAAAAAAAAAATCCTTGGCAGTATGAGGACTAAGTATGTGGGATGGCCAACTAAAAAAAAAGCTATTCTTTTTTTCCATTCCAGCAGTGGTGGAATATTTTATAAAAAAAATCCTATACATAATGACTGGACAGCTATCACATATCCAGGCAATACTTGCCAGCTGGGACAAAATGGGGGTGCAAAGCAGCTCTGGAAAAAAAATGTGTGTTAGCCCATATAATGAACACTATATGTACATATATACACGTGCACGTACATATAGTGTTTATTATCTTTTTATTGTGCTGATGAATGGCCATATATTTTTATTTTTTTTATTGGACGACCCAGAGTGCTGGTATGGATTGAAAAGTGTGTGTGTGTGTGTGTATATGTATATTATTGGTATGTTCCTTTTTCTAATTCAAAATATTGGGTTGTTTAGGGTAAAAATTATACAGTAAGCATACTTACATGCAGACACAGACAATCTCATGGACTCATTGATACAGCCCATTGATACACTGGCTTACAGACATACATTCTCATTGATACACAAAAGTTCACTGACATAAAAACACAAGCTCACTGATACACACAAATATGCTCACTGACAGACAATCTCACTGACACACACAGACAGACTGGTACATACACCACACACAAATTTAGTACAAACTCTAACACTCACACACGCTTACTACAGACAAACTCATTGGTATACACACGCTCACTACAGACAAGCTATCTAACACACATACACATGCTCACTACAGACAAGCTATCTAACACACACATACACACACACACACACACACACATACAAGTTCACTCACTAACAGACACACACACACTCACTGTCATAGGGGTGAAGCCTACCTGTCACAGAAGGCTGTGGGAGACAAGGCGCACTGGTAGGTGATGTCTCCATTTTCTGACCTCTTCCTTCCAGGTCAGCAGCGTGTGTGAGGGAGGAGCTTGATCATGGGAGGTGGACTTGAATCCAGGAGGCTGGGCTTGAGTCTGGG